TGAATCCATTGCATGACTTCATTCCAACTGAAAACATACAATAGAAGTGTGAATTACTTTTGTAACCCTAGTTTGGACTCAACGGGGATACACTGATTTTGAACCATTCCTCACCTTGGTAAAGCAATATAACATATTAAAATAATTAGCAGAGGACATGAAATTTAAACAGTACCTGGAAGGCAACATATTAAATGGGTTTAATTGCATTAAGCTTTCAGTTCTTAAGAGAAAATGCAGTGACAGATATTCCTTTGCTAATTGACTTTTAATTGTTTTCCCCACTAATCAAGCATGTCTAAATACTTATCCTGCAGGTGCCTAGCTACAAGACTCCTCTCATCTAATTACTGGCACTTACATTTAATTCCTGGTTTTTTCATCTCTGATAGGATATGAATAAAGCTTAATGCGAGTGAGATCTGATATGAAGACCATCCCTGTAATTTCTTTACCAGATAGCTATTACAAGGGCTTTTTATCCATCACAGCTACCATGGCTCCTCCTAAAGTGTTATTTTGTTTCTACATTCATGGCTCCTAAAGCATTATTTTGTTTCTACATTCATCTAAAGTTTGTAAACAAATGAAACAAGGTGGTAACACAAATGGCTTGTACTATTTCAGTGTTTCTAAGGTTCTGGATGAAACTCCCCCACAAAAGCAGATTCTTGAACAAAAATTGTATTTGATTAAGAATTGAAAACATTACTTTGTGTGCTCTACTGTCTGTAAAATGAAGATTCTTCAGTCAGGCTGCTGGAAAAGGAAATACTGTTTGCCTTGTGTTATGAACAAAACAGCCTGGCTGAGACACTTCGGCTTGAGCTAAATACTGACATTGAAATGTTAGTTAGCCAATTGCTCCTGGGAATCACCTACACCCCCACCCACACTAGGACCGGGATGCAAAATAATCCAGTGGAATCATGGGAGGGGATTTTGGGGATGAAAAACACCCCTAAATGAAAAATATGGGCACAGTGGAGGGGGCTGGATGAGTGTGCAGGTTGGGGAAAAGGGAACCCCATCCCTAGGCTGTGTTTGACCTGTCACCATAACCTGAGGACCAGACTGGACTGGCCTGTGGGAAGTGGGCACAAGGAGAGCAAACACTCTTCCTAGTGCTACCACGAGGGAAGGAGAGGGATAGCTGCTGCTGGGTTTTGGCAGCAGGCTCTGCACATCCCCTCACACTTTGGCCACCAGTGTGCCAGGAGGAAAGGAGAGGATGGTCTGCTGGGATTTCAGATACAGACTGGACACCTCTTCACCTCCAGCTACCAGTGTGCCACACACCTTCTCCCCTTTCAGCTACTGGAAAAGCTACAACACCCCCCTGCCAAGCTGACTTTTTAATAAAGAGCTGAACTTTAATAAAGGCATAGACCCCATTCATTTCACCTTGGAAGCAGCTTTGATGCAGGTTTTATTACCTGTAGGTGCTCAACTATTCTCCACCACCTGCCCAACCAATTCTAATGGCTCTGCTCTCTGCATCCAGCATTGATGCAGACAGCTTCATGAGAATTGTAACAGCAGCTTGACTCATTTTACCAGAGCCTAGAACTCCTAAGATATGGTAATCAGCCTTCTCATCACAAGCAAGATGACAGCCCAAGAAGAGGTGGAGGTGGGATCAGAAAATAAAATCCAGAAAGTAATTTTAACTGTGGAGCCTTGGATTTCTGCTCTAAGGCAGAATGTAACCATCTGCAGCTGCGTTATTCTGCTCAAGTTGGTTACAAACATGAATACATCCACATTGTCTGAAAACAGCTGACAGAAAGGATAGTCTAGCAACCATAACTTGCATCTCCCTCTCCTTCTTTCCAGACAGAAGTAGAGGAGTCAAGTAAAATAAATCTTATGGCTGCTTTGTACTCCCACACTGCTGGCACGTAAGCTGGTTGCACATAACCGTGCAACAGGCACAAAAGAGCTGAGGTCTGTCTCAAAGAATGATTTTGCTGCCTTTAACCTTTTGTAATGTTCTGAGGGAATAATAAACCACCACAGTATTACATCAGGTGCCACATGAAAACCTGTCTCAGGTGACTTCTCTTGCCCTCTGCACTAAAGAAATATAGCTTTGTCATGCTTTAGGATGCAATGGTTTGGTGGGTGGTTGTTTGTTTGGTTTTTTTTTAATCTTCTGCTATCATCACTTACTTTCATAGGTATTTCTAAAACCTGTTTGGGGTTTACCAGGATAAAAAAAAATTGACATTTGCCCACATTTCCTATTGTTTCCATGAGAAAATTTAAGTTCTCTGTGAAGCTTCTCTTAGATAAGAATTAAGCATTTATTTCCACCCTTGGCAAAAATTAAGGAATCATAAAACCACAAAGACTGGAAAAGATTTCTAAAATCATGGAGTCCAACTGTTAACCCAGCACCATTGTGTTCACCACTGACCCCTGTCCTCAAGTGCCATATCTAAGTGTCTTTTGAATACTTCCAGGGATGATGATTCCAGAAACAGCATGATGATTCTGCCAAACAGCAGAGACCTTATATCTTAATCTACTACTTATACTTTTTATCACTAGAGCATAAATACATTTGTAAAAAATTTACTAACAGAATGATGGTTGCTATATTTCTCACCTGCTCACACACTATTTAAAATTCTAAAACAAACAAAAAATCCTCCCAAAAGCCTATGTATTGCTTAGTTAAAGCTTAGTCAAAAACAAGATTCCCTCAAGCTAGAAGCAAGGCTTACCTACATAACAGACTACCCCAGAAAAAAATAGTTTTGCCTAAAACATTTGAAGGTTTTCTCCTCCTTTCCAAATGTACATTCAAAAAGACTTGAAGAAGTATTTAAAACTCACCTGGCCTTAAAACAGACTGATAGCATGACTGCAGCTTTTCTATGTCTCTTCTCCAAGTGCTTCTTAATCAAGCTTGGCTTTGCAACAAACTTCATCCAGGAGAAAGGATGTACCAGCCTCCATCATGACAAACTAAAAATTACAGCATCAAATCAGTTAAGAGTTAATCCACTGTTCTTTAGATTTACTAGGTATTTGTGCCTGGTTTGAAGTAGTGTAAAAATAGAAACATTCAAACTATATTTGTTTCCTTCCTATCAGAAGCTTTCTGAAAACCAGGAAAAGGTAACTTCTTGTGCTTTATGCAGATTTTAGAGAAGTATGTCAGGAAGGAGAGGTAAGATATTACACCACTCAAACAGATAAATAAATCCCCATTAACTCACCCCTCCTCCTGAGGATCTTGAAGAGTAGAAGGCCAGCCTAGAAATTAGGCTTCCCAGTCAGTGCACTATCCTACAGCTCTGCCAGCACAGGGGATGAGTACAGTGGATAAATTATTTACTGCAAGCCTCTGGAAACCACAGGGAAACACAAACAAACAAACAGGAAAAAAAAAAGAAAGAAAAAAATACATAAATAAAAACACATGCCATTTCATGAAATTACAGTGCTAATGATTCTTGTCTGCCAATCTGCCCAGATTGGCAGACACCACCCATTATATTAATGTCCATTCCAGAGGTTCAAGGATTACCGTTTACTTCTTTCCCAAAAGAGACCAAGTTAATCTTCCTTCCAGGAGTAAAGAGCTCTACCTCCCCTCAGGGATAGACTAAGGGCATGAAGAGAAGTAGTATTTAATTTAGACCACAGGAAAGTGGTCTAAATATTCTGGAAAGCTTTAGACATATATGGGTAACAACTTCCAGTTTCTCCTTTGCAAAGTTCTTGCTTGCCCTTCGTGCTAGCCCCTCTCCATTCATGGCCAGCCACCTTCAGCACTGACCATGACTGCTATTTGTAGAAACAACTGTAGAGCACAGAACAAGGATAACAGAATTATATTGTCCTTTCCCCAAAAATAAAGTTAATTTTTAAAATTAAGTTCCACACAGGTAACACAGCATTGAATAAGCTTGTCTGAAGAACACTGTCCAGATTAATGTTTGCCACTCTATGCACTGAGACCTTCATAAAAACCAATCTACAGAAGGAAACTAACCAGAAAGCATGTGTGTATTTCAAAACAGCACCATCTAAAGTGCAGAACTCTAGAAAAGTTCATATTTAATAATTTAATATTTACTAATTCCCTTCCCTGCACTTATATCTCTCAATATAATAATAATAATAATAATAATAATAATAAATTTTCTTAATTCCCCTTCTCCTGTGTGGATTTACAAGAAGCACTTTACTGAAAAAACTGGAAAGAAAACGTGGGGAAAAACTTATCTGTCAAATGTAAACCAACAAACTCAGGTATATGATAAAAAAATAAAGATGAAAACCAAGAAGCAACTACAAAGGATTTTTTAATAAATCAGGATTTAAGCAATCTCTACTCATGCCCCAACTCCATTTTAAAATATCAAAGCATGTCAAACCTTGCTTGCTTTGGTTTTGACAGTCAATCAGCCATCTGATGGAAGTAGGGCAACAATGCTAACAAAGATTTCCTATATTCAATGCAGTAACTGCTTGACATCATAAAACCAGCTGCAAGAGATTTTCTCAAAACTCTCTTCCCTTCTTAATTACCTTTTTATTGTTGACTTGACCATTTATACTAGATTTCCAAATGCAGCTTAGACAGTTCATACATTTCTTATATGGAAACATCATAAAACTCTGAGAAACAGTTCGTACCTTCCTCACACAGTCATGGAAAATGAGACAAACGGTGATTTTGCCTTCTCCAGAAGTCCATGCGCTGATTACAGAAATTCAAGCTCTGCTGGGGTCAACCCCTGATGCCCCAGCTCTGGTTTTACACAGGGTTCAGGACTTCAAACAAACTTCCACTGATGATGTTGACAGTAGTTCTTCCATTGACTTCAGCTGGGAATAAACTGGTTTTTATTGAGCAGGCTAACTGTTGAGTATCTTCATCCTCTACAGTTTCTCAATTTTATCAACTACTACAGGAGTCAGAAACTAATTTAAAAAAAAAACACTTTTACTGAGTTAAGGAAAAAAGAAAACCAAAAAGAAAGTTTTGTTGACCTCCATGTTTATTTTTAAAACAATTTACAAATAAAAATGTTATATTTATCCAAGGAAACACATTTAATACTTTAGTCTTTAACAAGCTACACAAATGAGAACAATAACATTCAATATCTCAAGGACCATTCAGGGCAGGCATGCATGTGTCTGTATCACATGAAGCGAGTCCAATTCCTGACACCAGGGTTCTCATCTTCTACTTCTTCAGAGCTGGTCAGCTGCTAAATGATTTAACACAAATAGTTACTGGATCACAATAAAATTAAAGAAAGCCCATTTCAAATCATGTAAGTGACCTCAATACGTCTGGTCCAGTTGTCAGGCCACAGAGCCTTACCGAATAGTTTTCTTCTCCAAAAGCCAGTCCGGACAGATTTTCTCCCCTTGCTTAGTGATGTGGCATCCATACATGTGCTTATACAATACAGTGAAACACCTTAAGTACAGATGTAATACAACAGTAATTACAAATCACAGAGACAGATAAACAAATAAAATTAACTCTAAACATTCCTGCATTTCAAACAAAAAAGTAAACAAACCCATGCATTACAGTTCAAAGAAATGATCAGTTTAGGTCTTCTGCAAGTCTCCATTTCCTCAGTTCTAAATTGCTGTTCTTGTGCTTGTCTCACCAGCTGGGCTATTCACCGTGCTACTGACACAAACTGGGTAAGCTGGAAATCACCCAGGAATGGTCAAAGAATAAAAGCCCCCAAAATAAAGAAGACGTACGCATTGTAAATGAGAGTCCATTTTAATAGCAGTGTGTAGAAAAGAAATTGGCAAAAAAAATTCACATGAAAAAGCATTTTACACAATTAATTATGTACAGAATTAAAGTATGTGGCTACCTTCTGATGATTTACGTTTCACTTTAGTCAAGTCCTACCACAGAATGCAAAATACACCCAAAACTCTCAGCTGGAGCAAAAAGAAAAACCATATACATAATCCCAGCTCTGGCTCCTCAAATATTGGGACTAGCTGGGTTTACTTCAACCCACTGGGCTTTCTGCTATGCTTTTAGCAATTCCCAAATTCATTGTAGCTTCCAAACTACTGTCAGGAGCTTCTGTTTGCTCAGTCTTCTTGCTCCAGATGGTGCACATTCCCTTGCTTCCTGAGCCACCCACCTTCCCATGTATTTCTTTGAGCCCAGGCATTAAAGTTTCCACACAGCCAGATGCCTGACTTTCTGTGCTGCCTCTGTCACAACTCAGTGACAGCATTTCAACAGTGCCACCTTTGGTCTCCTCCACTGGCACAAGTATCTCAGACGTGGGAGAAATGCCCTGCATTTCTAGAACCGGCGTGACCATTTCTTCAGTGTCACTACTTGAGGTCTGTGATCCAGGCTGCAGCATAGGTTTCTGAGAAATTTGTGTGCAAATTTTATCTTCACAACTACCAGAAGTCAATGTAGCAAAATCAGTAATCCCTGTTTCATTCACTGTTCTTTCAATGCCCAGTTTTTTAAGTTTACTGGACTCCCGCCTAATGGAAGCAATAGTTTCTGGTTTTGTGACTTCTTCTGTATTTTCCTTTAAAAGTCCTTCTGAAAGGATGCTGAAACATTCACGTTTTACCTTATTGCCTCCCAAATTGAAATCAGTGCTTTTCACCTCAAGGTCTGCTTTCTGGGAGGGAGTCTTCATGTGTTTCATATCCTCTGATGGTCTATTGAAAAGAAGATTATCTGCTCTTGCATCAGATCCAGTGTGTCCTAATGACTTTTTTTCATTTTCAGCTACTAACTCTAGACCAGATCTGAATTCAGCAATGTTCAAGCAGGTACTGACTAACCGTTCAACTCCCTGCTTCTGGGTTTGGTTGTCTAACACGGTATGGCCTGAAGGTTTAGGTTGAACTTTTTCTTGAGCTTCTAAAAGGGTGTTTTTCGTTTCTGTCTGTCCTTCTGTCAATTCTGAAGCATTAACCTCATTAGAACCAGACTTTATTTCTGGATTTGAAGTACTTGGTAGATCCCAACCACTTTCAGAACAAGAATCAGTTGTGACTCTCTGTTCTTTTCCATTACTAGTTCTGGAAGTGCCCCAGAGCAAGTCTGGACTATCAGTTTCTGAGTGAGTTCTACAGTTATCATTTAACTTTTCCTCTAACAAATGGGAATTTCCCAAACTTTGAATTTCGTTCTGCATCTCAGGTGACAAGGTGTTTGGGTGTAGACTATGCTTAGGCTTTACTGCTTTTATTTCCCAGTCTTTTATCCTTGTCTCCAAGGTACTAGGAATATTTGTGTTTGTAACTGGAGTTCTATTTCCATCTTCCTGTCCAATCTTCTCTTGGACCTCAGTTTTCTGTAGAGCACAGTATTCCAGACTGCCTGCCTGCTCTCCACTTCCTGTATCAACAAGTCCAATTTCTGCAGACATCTGGATACCAGAAACAGGGTTTGTTTCTGCTAATTCTATGACTGACATTTCTGATAGGTGAGGCTGAAGTGATTTCTTGTTCATGTCAGCCTGATTTTCAACAGGAACCAAACTCCCTGTCACTTGATTATTACACTGTGAAGAATCCACATTCTCAGAATCCTCTTTCAATGAGGATGAACTACTGTTTGTTCTATGATTTGCAGATAAATCTGCAGGTTTTGTTATGTTAGGGTTTTCTCCATTTGGAAGCGCAGAATTTGCAAGCCTGCTGTCAGCTGAACCCTTTCCACCACTACTGTAGAAAATATCATAGAGATCTTTAGCATTGGCTGTGGCCAAGCAAGAATTTCGTTTCTCTATCTTTTTCGCTTGTTCACTGAAAGCAGTTGAAGGTGGTGGTGGTCTCACAGGCATTGCCAACATTGTCTGTTCACTTTCAGACACACCTGGAGCTACTTCATCTGCGGGGATGAGAGCTGCTGGCTGGACTGCTGGTGGAGGACAAGGTGGAGGTAGTCTATCTGCTGTCGGAGAAGACTCATTTTTCTCTGCTGCTTTCAAATCCTCCTCTGAGCCTTTTAAAATTACTTCTTCTCCTCCAAAAGCTTTTGATATGATTTCTGGAGGCAGTAGAAGATCTGCATTTGTTTCTTTTACTACTGGCAGTGGTTTGGTGGTAGTTCCAGAGGATTTTATGGATAAAAAGGTGTTCAAAGGTGGAGGTTTACTAACTGTTGCAGTACTAGACTTCCTGAAAATCATGGTGGGGACTGGTAGATTGGGGAGAATTTTTGTTGGTGTCGGTGTGGAAACAACTGGTATCCATGGGCTAGTGTGTGGAATAACAGTTTTCCCAGACAACTTGATTTCAATGGGCTTGATATGGGATTTCACAGACTGACACTTGTTCTCCTCTTTGTTTCCTTCTGTATTCTCTTCTTTTGCAATAGCTCCTGGTGTTTTATCCTCTCTCTCAGTCTTTTTCCAGCTGAATTTCCCGAAGGAGGTCTGGGTTGGTGATTCCTTTTTAGATTCCTCTTTCTTTTCTTCTTTTTTCTCCTCTGTCTTCTCTTCCTTCTTTAGCTTTACCGTGATACCCATTTTTCGCCCAGAAGAATCTGTTTTGCCTTGAGTTTCATTATTCCCTTCTCCAGACTCTGGGATGCTCTTTACTTCCTCTTTCTTTATTATTTTTGGGGTTTTCTCATCCTTCTCTTCCTTCTGTTTCTCAACCAGTTTCCGTTTCAGCTCGTTTTGCCGCCTGCGCTCTGTTTCCAGAACTACAGCCAATCCAGCCTGACGGTCTAGATTTCTCCTCTCTTCATAGAGTGGGTTTTCATCTATGTATTTCTGTGGAAATAAAATAGCAACATTTTAGCCACCATTTCCTTGAAAAATAAATACATAAATGCATCTCTCTGACACTTTTGACTTGCTCAGTAAGTGCCAACTCAACACTAAGAGAACAGGGAACTTTCTCCTACCAAGAAAGTGAGGTACTACAAACTGCATGCAGTAGTGCTGTCACTTTACAGTAGACACATTTCAGCTTCATGCAGGTAAAATATCTCTACATACTGGTGTAGTGGGAAGTTCTGCTTATTTAGTTCAGTAGAATGTAGTAGAGATAACCAAATACATACACTCCAAGGAGTTAAATGTGATTCTTCAGGAAAGGAAGACAGAACAAATGGAACCTAATTTAGGGAATGTCTCTTTCATAGTACATCAGTTACCAACCTTATACTTCTCATTGTGGGGATGACTTTTCACATGCTGCTCTGCTGAGATCTGATCTCCAAAAAATTCATGACAGAGCTGGCAATAATATCCAGTGATGGGAATCAGAAACTCAGAGCCTGAAAAGGCCAAAGAATATTATCAGAGAAACAAAACCTAATAAATGCCAAGCTCTTAACAAAGCTGGTCAAAGAACAGCAAAACCTCCAGTAATGTTCTTTTTGGAACAGTTAATGCTGCTCTCTTTACAGTTACACAGGAACTACCACTACCAGAACAAACATGCAAAGTGAAGAAGTTTATTACTATGGTTCAAGATTTAGGTGCTCTCCATCATATTAAGGTAATTGAGCATTCAAGTAGGTTAATGTTTCCTACAGCTTTGATCTATTTTCCATCTTTGTGGTATAGCCTGCTCAAATACTAAATACCTGGTTTATAAACAGAACACAAATATTTTCTTTGACATTCAGCAAGATTGCATCCTTGTGCCTATAGAACCTGCTACAGTTATCTAAGCAGGTTCTGTAGGCACAAGGATTCTGTAGGCACTGCCGATTCTTCTTTAGGAGGCACTACTAGAAATATGTAACAGATTAATAAAAGGAGTTGATCACTGGCAGGCCTTTTAGACATTCATATTTTAAGTTCTATAGTAATTTTCAACTCAGTTACAGCTTCTTCCGTATTTCTGTATCAGATTTCCTATATCTGCACTATAACAAGTACTTACTGGTCAATTTTCAGGGAGACCTCTGCTAAAAATGTACTGAATGGAAAAGTCTACTACAAGACTGTGTGGAATACTGTGCAAGATCTACCCAAACACTGACAACTATTGTGGTTATGCTCTGAATTCTAATATGTTGGCAAAAATTACTTCAGAACTACACTGAAAGAGAAGAAACCACACTTTTCCTAAACTCTTGCTTCAAGACCTTTTCCACAAGAACAGTCAAGAAACTAAATACTTTGCCTTTTTCCTAATAATACAGTATCTGTATGTGCTCCTATACCAAGGTAAAGTTTTGAAAATTCCTTTCTCTGACCAAGTGGGACTTGCTGGAGGGCAAAGATGGATGATAGCCAAGTTAATAAAAATTAACATACCTTTGGCAGGAACCGTTATCTTATCAATGCGTTTTATGGACTCTTGTTTGGTCTCGCTCTGGGTCTTCGAAGCCCAAGGTCTGTTGTAAGGATCCAGGGTCTATTTGCACAGTGATAGAGGTATATAGGCTCATATATTACACTAGCAAGGCAAGTACACTTGTCTTTTTTCTTTTTAATATTCTTTTAGAACACTAAATATCAAAATCAATGTGCAAATATTTACAACAATTAATTTTCCTCTCTTTTCCCTCCCATTTTGCAATTTACAATGACAAAATAACCTGTGGAAAGTGTAAAATATAAATGACCACAAATAACACGTAAAAATGTGAAACACAAGTGGCAAACCCGAGCAAACTGAACACATTTACACTATTTGGAATACACCAATAGCTGTACAACTGCTCAAGTCCAACATTAGGGGAAAAGAATTTCATAAGTTACTTCTTGGGTTCATTATTACTTCAGGTTCTCTTGTAAAATGTAGTTCCGTGATGTATGTTTTAATGTTAATACTCATAGCAATATGAAATGCACTTAGTGAAGGAAGCCTGCAACATACCTGTCTGTGTTTCTTATTATGCATGTGTGTGAAAAAGTCAAACATGGTCCCGCAGATGGTATTGCAGTCTTTGCACCAGTGGTTCCCTGCATCATAATATTCATAAATATTGGCCAACTGGAAAGGATGTTTGGAGGACTGTGAAGAGGATTCTGCTGGCTTCGGGCTTCTACCTCTGGATTTTTCATTAGTAGTTTTTGATTCCTAAATTGAACAGAAGGAAACATTTCTCTAAGACAAGGCAGGACAGGCAAAATGCTCAAGAACTCAGAACCTGCCTCCAGCAGAAGCCATACACACACAAAAAAAAAAATATATCACCTGCTTTTCAGCGCCCAGGTTAATTCCACTGTTTCAGAGAGCTGGTATTGCCGACTAAGATGCTGCGTGGCTGCAGTGAAGCGTTTCCAATAAGGGTCCCAGATGTAATGGCTGGATGGTTGTAGGTAATCAAGGAACCAAATGAACAAATTCCCTGTGGCATGCACCCTTCCTACTTTATTGGTTTCACATAACAGTTCCAATTTACCATACTAGCCAATCAGTGCCCAGAAGACCTCAAATGGTTCCCCTAGAGGCATTCAGAAGTTACTGTAAAAGTAGCTTGGATGAAAGCAGAATGGAAAAGGAAGCAAAAATCAGGTGACTACAAGTATTTAACTACATCAGCTTTATCAGATTATTTGAGTGTTCCTGAACTCTCCAGAAAACTTATTGCTTAATAATAAAAGAAAGATGGTGTTTTGTTAATTACCTAAGTATAGAGAGTGAAGGATCTTGTGATTTAAACATGTGATGTTTGCATTTACATTGATCTGTACAGAAAGACGCCATATAGTGATATACAGACATTTCAGAACTCTATCGAAAATTAATACTAAACTGAACTTGTAGCAAAACAAGTATTATCTGAAATATACCGTTAATGAGTCCTGGTAATTTAGATTACAGTAGTAGTAGATGTATTTTGAGTTCTCAGTTATATTTCCAATGGCATAAAGTCCATCATGTTATCATTTTGCAAGGCAGTCTGGAAAGAACAGCATGTTAATTTAGCAGATTCAAGTTGGTTGTATGATTTCCAAATTATTCACTACCAGCACTGAACAAATTTATTTAAGTAGATTGAAAATTGTCAAATAATATCTGCCTTACTTTAAATTCCTTAACACCACCCCGCACAACATACACTGCAAATCAAAGAATGAAGACACAGCCAGGCCACTATGCACACCACAGATACCCATATCCCAATATAATCTAGTTCTTGGTAGCAGAATAAGAAGTGACCCAATGAATATTTGCATGTATTCTGTCAGCAAGAACATAGCATACATTTTCTTTAACAGTGAGATAAACTTATGATCTGCAGGAGGTTCATGGAAGGATGTTCACAATGCCACACAAGCATCAATGTTTATGTTATTTATAGACATACACCTATAAAAATACTATCTCAATCAAAACTTTAAAAAGACAATGCTTCTCAGCCCACTCTTAACTCCAGTTTGTGCATTACCCCAGCTCAATGATGCCTTTAAAATTTGCTATTATTTAGAGCCGGTCTGTTTAGCACAGTAACACTGGCTTCACCTCTGCACTGACTGTATAACTACAACACACAGACACAGGGTCAGCAGCAAGGGACCACAAGGTGTCTTGCAAATAAGCAGAAAGGCAAAGGCTTTTGCCCTCAGGTTGGCAAAGCCAGCCAATTTCAGTGTTGAAAGGCCAGCACCATCTTTCTTTTCATGAAAAAAAAAATTATCAGAACTACAATATGAATTTTAGAGGCTAAAGGCCATGTCCTATGTGCCTACATATGTATGAAAATAATAAATGTTACTGTCCAGGACTCACAATTTTCCATGTTAAAATAAGGAACTATGAAAAGGAGATCAAGTCATTATGGGTTTGGATGACACAGACAATGCAAATTAAAATAATGAGAAATATATTCATACATGCCATATCTCAAGAAAAGAAAACAATATAACTTAATGCAATGTAGGACTTAACAAACATTTTGGCCTACTTTAGTTTTATAAAGTGGTGACTGAAGCAAACCGTTTGTTCAAGTAAGTGGACAGTAAACTTCAGAGATGTTTCGAGAAACAACAAAAAACTAAAAGCAAGTCTCTAAATTAAATGTACCTAATGAGTTCTCAGACCACAATAAAGCAAAAGAAAAACTTCAGATTTGAGTGGCTTTGGAAGAAATACAGAATCACAAAATGGGTAAGGTTTGAAGGGACCACAGTGGGTCATCTGGTCCAACCTCCAAGCTCAAGCAGGGTAATCCGAGAGCACACGGCACAGGATTGTGTCCAGATGGTACTGGAGTATCTCCAGTGATGAAGACTCCACAACCTCTCTGGGCAATTTGAGTGTTCAGTCACCCAACAATGAAAAGTTCTTCCTCACGTTCAACTGGAACCTCCTGTTCATCAGTTTCTGCCCACTGCCTCTTGTCCTATTGCTTGACACCACCGATAAGAAGAACCTGGCTCCACATTCTTGACATCCTCCCTTCAGATAAACTGATGAGGTAACCCCTCAGTTTTCTTATACCTCCTACCCTACTAACATTTTCCTCGCTGCAAAAAATATATATGTTAAGATCTATATAAAAATAATCTACAATTTCCCATTAGCTATTTCTGTTACATATTTGAATAAACATCTGAAAAGCAGGATAATAGATTTCCTGAACACAAATATAACCTTTCAGATGGTAGTATCCATCCTACTTTCAAAGTAAAACTGTCTTCTGGAATGCAGTAAGCCTGTTCTGGTACATCCATCACAGAGTAGTACAGACCACATCAGAGAGACCATACTGATACATACTGGTATTTCTTACAAGAGAACATATGTATACAAAAAACATCTTATGCTGACCATCATCTTTGTTACAGTGAGAAAACCAATGTGCATCCCAACTTTATTAATAGCTCTGCTGCTATTAATACTCCTCCCCGAAAGGCCATGACAGAAAATATGTAGAGAAAAAAGAAGTCTGTCCTCCTGGTATGGTACTGAGACCAAACAGCTACACACACTCATGATACTGTTCAATCCAACCAACACCTCAGCAATACCAAGATAAAAAACAGTAAGTGGTGCTGAACTGCACAAAACCTGAAGGACATTATATACACTGACACATTGACTCTCACCTACGTGCACCATCAAAGCCAGTGTATGAGATGTGGTAACAAATGACATTAAATGATCCTTCAATAAATGTTTGGGACCAGCTGTCTCTCCAGTGCCCTCTTCTCTTAGTGGGAAAGTCATTAGCACACAAACTTTAAGACTTTACCTTGTTGGCGGAAGATGTTTTCTCTACACCTTTTGCATTTTCTGACTTGCTGTTCTTTTCTGAGGAATCTTTAGTTTCCACAGATGGTTTCCGGGCTTTTTCAAATATGTTAATCCCCAGGATTTGTGCTACTTTGTCAAGCTCAGACTGCTTCTTGTCAGCTGCATCAGATTCTTTATGCAGCTCTGCAATCTCCTTCATAATATTCTCTTGTAGTCTGTTCACCTCAACCAACAAGGGGTCTTTGTGTCCGTCCTTCTCACGACGTTTTTTCCTCAACATCTCACCTGAGCCAACCAAGGAAGCAGAAGAGTCAGAAATGCAACAGGAAAACTGACTTTATATCTGTACAATAATTCCAGCAACAAGTAAAATACTAATATAAAATGTTATGGCTAAATCTTCACTATAAAGTTGTAAAGATGGAACTGACTCTCAGGTACAACATCACTAAATCTGCATGATGTGCCTCTATAGGGACTACGATAACACACACCCCAAGAAAGGCACCTCCAGAGTTATCCATTTATAATCACTGTTTTCCCTGTGTGACAAAACAAGCAAAAGTTAAATTGCCCATTTTAACCTGAAATTATAATTTTCCAAAGATGAGGAAATTAAGTATTTACTCGGACTAAACAAATTTTAAAGACGCAAAAAATTAACTCTCTTGAGAGAGGACTTTTCCATCTCCAGATAAGATTCATGAAAAATTTAAAGACACAATTACATCTTCAGTCACTATTTCTCACTTCTTCTGAAGAATCACTAAAATGCGTAAAGTACAATTCCTTTAGTTTATCAAGCCAAGAAGATGCAAGAGCAATCGTCTGCTTAACTAGGTCACTGCTTTTTCAAGAGTTGTGCATTGCCAGGAGTATGAAAATACATTATGGACTATTCTTATTTTGGTCCTCCTTCTCCTGTTAGATACCAGGACTTGTGATACATCCCAATGGGGGAAAAAAAAGAAGCAAGGGGTTGAAGAGTGATAATGCACTTTACCTTGCTGTTTACGAAGCCTGTCCAATTCAGTCTTAAGATAGTAAAGCTTCTTCTGCCGTGCTTCTCGATCACTCTTCAGTTTTTCTCTTTCTTCTATCACCTAAATAAATTGGAAGGTGTCTGGATTTTCTTCTCTTCCCAACACAAGTTAAAAAGTCTTGCAAGAATGACAGGAAGAACTCAGCTTTATAGACACAGAACACTCCTCACTATTCCCAAAATGTTCTTGAGTATTTTAACACAATAAATAAACCTCTCCCTCTGTATCTGAAAGTAACTGTATTGTGTGGTCATGCCTCAAGCCAGTTTGTAGGATTTTTTTTTCTTTTGGGCAGTGTTTTCCTCTAAACTGCTCTGTTTGTTGTAACACTTCTAAGGCCCCTGGGCTCAGCTGACTGTCTTCTACAGAGCTAATCAAGATCAATGACAAACGGTTGTTCCAAACTCATGCAGAATCTCTACAGCAAGCATATTCCATCGACCTTCACAGCCCTTCACCTTGCTTCCTGCTTTGACTCTGACCCATTTTAGCTGTTAGGTTGTGCTTCAATCTGACATTAAACATCAGGATGAAATTTGTTTCTTGTTCAGTAAGGTAAACTGTGGCATGAGAAGCTCACAAATCCTTTTTTTATTGGTTTTCATTGATTCTCATAGAGGAAACAAAGCAATATGCTAAAATTAAATCTGAAAAGTTCTTTCAGTTTCTTTTCCAGGTTCACTTTTCAAGAGAAAAATCCCATTTTTTTACCTTCACAAGGCTATTAAATCTTATTACAGACTCTTCCCTTAACAAACAAGTGATCTTGACTTCCCTAGACAATCTCTTCTACTATAGCAATGTCAACGTTGGCAGGATCCCTGAATACTTCCTGAAGTAGTTCTACCCACATAGTTAAGCTACATCTTAAACAACATAAGGAGTTTTTAAAATTATTATTATTTTGGTTTTGTATGCTATTTTTTTTTATCATCAAAGCACCATTCTCTCCTTCTGAGTTTTCTGCAGCATGGGAGCATCAAGTGGAGCATGGCAATTTTTATACTCCAAGTCATCCCAGCAAAAACCCAGTGGACTAAGCCCAAGACAAAGATTTCTGTACTGCAAATAAATCCTTAGAAGTTTTACCAAGATTCACAAATGAGCTACCAAGGTATGTCAGGGCAGGAGAAAACCATACACCTTCAGCCAAGACAGCTCTTCCAAAGGTACTAAATTTCATTAAGAACAAAATTTCAGCTATGTCAGCTGAAGAAATTATTCCTGCAAAAAGTGGAAGCTCACTTATTTGCTGACGTGGCACTTCATACAAGTGAATAAAAAGTTCTTATAATAAAAGATCATATTGCAGCCTCCAAACCTAAAGTGGTTTGAAAGAAAAATGCGTACAGATATTTTACCAAGGTCTGTAGTGACAGGAAAAGTGGTAACAGTTTCAAACTAAAAGAGGATAGATTTAAACTAGATATAAAGGAAGCATTTCTTTACAAGGCGGATGGTGAGGCATGGAAACAGGTTGCCCATAGAGACTGTGGACTCTCCAGCCCTGAAGTCTTCAAGGCCAGGTTGGATGGGGCTCTGAGCAATCTGGTCTAGTAGAATGTGTCCCTGTCTATGGCAGTGGGATTGGAACAAGATGTTTTTAATTGTCCCTTCATACGCAAATAATTCTATGCCTTTATTTTAACAATAAAGACCAAGTGGACACCAGTCTGAAAACTCAACTTTTGGGAGTCATCCAGATTTTTGACAGTTGTGTAAGTACATTTGAAAATACATTCTTTCCCACAACTCTCTGATTATTGTATAAACCAAGATAATTAAAAGAGGAAAACACTAACACATGTGACCTGAACTGGTGTCAAAGCCCCTAGGTAGTTTCCCCTAAATTCTTCTCATTTTGTGATTTTTTTAAGAGAATTAATATAAATTTAGAGGGAAGGTTATATGTGATGGTGAATGATGACATCCTTTAGAGTATATTTAAGAATGTAACCATGGTATTTTGTACAATGTAGCATGTCCTGATGGAGCCTCCTATGTTTTAGTTTGTGCCTCCTGCCTCTTGTTCTGCCACTGGACATCAGTAAAAAAAGCCATTTAATTTTCTTTACACTGTCCCTTCAGATTTTCACATATCCCCAGGTATCTTCAGGTATTTCAATATCTAAATCTCACCAGAATAAAGCCAAGCTGTGGCCAACGTGTGTTTTCTCTGTAAGATTTTGGCTGGTTCAAAGAAATTCAACTTTGTTTTAGATTTCATCTGCTCTGTCATAACCAATGGCATACAACTTCAGGAGATTTACAATGCATTTTTTACAAGTGTCACAGATTAATACAGACAAATACTTAGAAATCTTCAACAGAAGTAAACTAGGTCAAACTATTTTTAAACTGGAGCAGAGGGCTGAACTGGAGCAACTCAGAAAAAAAAAAATAAAAGATGCACCTGAAGAGAAAAAGCTTCCGCCCCACCAATCACGCAGTCCAACACATTCTGAAGTACCAGAATACCTAACATACCTTCTGCTTTTGAGCTGCCCGATTTTTTTCATCCGACATCCTTTCTGTGGTATTTTTGAGAGGGTGTGACGACAGACGAAGGGGTGCTTTGGAATGAGAAGGAGTGGTAGGGACTTGAACAAGCACAGAACCATCTCTTTTTACATCAGGGACATCCTTTCCCAGAGAGACTGTCTCAATCACCCGGAGATTGGGACGTGTGGGGTTCGCTGACATGGCCATAGTAAGAAGACCATGAGCTTCTGGTAGTGTAGTATTAGGCTGTTGGGCAGTGGGGTACATGGGCCAGCCAGGAGCTGCATATGCCATATAGTGCCCATATGCATCGTATCCTGGAGGTGCCATTGTGGAAGTGGGATAGTTTTGGGGCATTTGAGCGGCAGTGTAATGGGAATAGCTGGGAATCTGGTATTGGGAAACAGAAGTAGGTGTAGGTGGCAAACTAGCAGGAGTTGGTGGAATTGAAGGAATGAGAGAGACAGAAGGAAGAGGCTGTTCTGGTGCATGTGCAGGTATCTCCTGTCCCACTGGCCTGTTCTTCATATAGTCTGATTTCTGAAAAGAGGACGCATCTTTAGGCTGCTGGAAAGAGCCTGGAGGTGACACTGAACGCTGCTGGCCCGACTCAGGAGAACGAGTGTCACTGCGGCTGCGGCGCAGCTCCCAAGCGTCCAGCCTGCGAGTGTCTGAAGAACGACGATCTGGAGAACGAGATGCCAGCTTTTTGCCATGAAGGCGTTCCTGGGTACGAACAGCCAGTTTTCCAATTTCAGCAACACCAATGTCAAGTCCAATGGTTTTGAGTAAGTCATGGATCTTTGCATACTCTGCATTTGGCTCTTCTAAAGGATCCATCTTGACAGCTGGAGCAGGAGAAGGAGGCGGGCTCATTTTCTGTATTATTATCTCATTGCCACAACTAACTGGAGGCTTCTCTATGGGAAGAGATTCAATTTTGGTCTCTTCATCCTCATCACCATAAAGAAATTTTTCTTCATCCTCAATGTCAGGAAAGCTACGCCTCCTCTTCTCCTGAGCACTGACAGAATCAGCCATCATGCCCAGAATTCGGGAGAAACCACTGCCATCCTGACTGGCCCTCTCATGAGGCAGCAGGAAGTCAGTATGGCGATCAGTGGGCTCTGACTTGGGTTCTACTTTTTCTTTGTGACTTAAGAAGCTTCCAAACTTCTCTTCAAACATCAAAGTGTCTTTAGGAGGCCCAGAGGGGGGGTTCCACTCACACAAACCTTCACACAACTCCTTGTTTGAAGACTCCACAAGAGAGCCTTTGTTAAACCGTTTGAGAAAGTTTTCCACTTCAGAAGCAAAAGGAGCTATGTTGTTGCTCTGGGGCAAAGAAGACTGACTAGAAAGAAGAGGAGGATCCTTGCTGGGGGCTGGACTGCTTGAAAAGCCCTCAGGCTGAAAGAGAGAAGATACTATTTACTTCTAATGCACTATGCACCTCACAGAACAAATGAAAGTGTTCATTGCTCCTTGAGTTCACAGCTGAATAAAACTGTTAGAAGAGACAATATGCAGTTGAAGACATATGCAGAGAACACAGAATATTACAAACCAAGTTGCCCAATAATTCTGGAATGCTATGCCCAACAATGAATGCTTATCTCAGAGAACACACAAAATAAGTTATATTTCACACATTTTTTGCAAGCATAAGAACTGAATTTTTAAAATTGAAACCCTGTTACATCATTTTGGATATGCTTTGAGTTTAGTCATAGTCACAGGGACTATGGACATAGGATTTCAATACCTTAAGTCAGATAAAAACTACTGCATTGGGGTTATTCCCAGATATTCACTTCTTTAGATATCCATAATTAATGCCATATTAAATAGCATTTCCATTAATAGGTATGGAAAGGGATGCTCAGTATCTGAACACTCCTGAGATAAATATGTCACTGTCAAACCAACACTGATCAGTAAAACAGGCAAATCAAAGTGATATGTTAAAATACAAAAAGTCAGTTTATCACAGTAGTCACAACCACTTATCTGTCCACTGCTTTAATTTTGAGACTCAGTTGGTATAGGTTTGATATAAATTAAGTAGGGTTGATCCTAGTCTGTAGTTCAAAGAGAAAAAAATAAGGCAATTTAAAAGCTGTTTTCAAGCAGAGGTACTGAGGATGCATTAGGCAGTTCACTAAATCTACAAAGAAACAAGAAAGAGACACTGTGACAGGGGAAGAGCTTCAATCAATATCCTGACTGCCTGTGGTACTATGAGAGTCAGCTTTTCTATGAAACCTGGCCCAGATCTCTGCATCATGGGTTGCATTTCCACAAAGACATTTTATGCCATAACCATTTAAAGTTTCTAATCCACTTCAAACTTATACTGCCCTGCAGAAAGATACCTGTCCTCTTAAGGAAAGGTACACAAAGATTTGGCTTTCCTATTTTGGAAATCAAACTAACATTCTGTATCATGAAGTAACTGCTTTGGAAAGTAGAAGCACACAGACAGACACATAGACACCAAACCTGAACAGCAGAATCTACTTCCATCTCTACTCGTTTCTTCAAAATAGATTTTTTGGGCATGGGTGGGATTTCTTCAGGCCTGTATGTATACCGAGGCTCAGAAGTCTGTAATGTGTTAGTCAAGCCAGGGATCGTATAGCCAGTGCCTGAAACATCATGATTCAAGTTTCTACTGCGCTCTTCTTCTTCTCTTTTCCTCCTTGCACGGTCAAGCTCTCGGAATTCTTCATTCAGGTACGACGGGCTCAGGCTTCTACTACGGCTGCGGCTTCGCCTGCGGTAGTTTCGCGTTCCTGATGAGAAACCTTGATGCTCTCCACTCACACCATGCATCTTCTCATCCTTTTCGTACCGTGGACGCTTTATTTCTCGTCCCCTCTCCTCTGCCCTCAGTGGGTAGGGGGATCTCCTCAGTTTGTCACCATCTCTGTCAGACCCACGAGGCAGCTCCTCCCGACGGCCATAGTGTGGACTGTAATCTGAACGGTGGAGGAAAACATCTCGGTTGCGGTAGTCTTCATCATGCCTCGGAATGAAGGGACTTGAAGGCTGATCTTCATGTGCTGGGTATCTCTCAAGGCCACGAGGACATGTGAGGCCTCTAGTGAATATTGGGCCATCAGCCATATCATCCCTGTGTGAGAGAAACACAGAATAGAAGAACCTGAATCAGAGTAAACAACTCCTACTCAAGGGAAAGAAATTTCCAAACCAGTTTCAAAATAACATCTCCCTCACTAAACAGAACCAACATTTTATGTATTTAAAAGGCAGGGTAGAGAAGGAGACTTTTATTTTTAATAGTACTGTACATCCCTCCAGGAAGTTACCTGCAAACACAGTCACATGAACAATTCAACTCATACTGAAGAATAAGAGCCTTGAAAAATGACAGGATGGATTAGTTTCTGTGAATGTGAGAGACTACAGGTTTTAAAAAACCCTTACTATTGTATTTCAGACCACAATCCCTTTCCTTGCCTCTCCCAGTAAGATGCCAAGGTCAGATTTGCTATGAATTATTCAAGGTATAATTCAGTTTCACACTGGCAAATGCAACCACATCCTCTTTTTATCCTCAGCTGTGGACAAGGACCACAAATTCTATCAACATTTTCTTTTGCAACAGATATGCAGACAGCACTGTCTCTAATCACACAAACCCCCTACATGAAAGAAAACACAATTTCTGGTATCTATAAACCAAGGAGATTAAGCGTAATGGTACCATTCTTCTGTGCCAGCCCCTGCATTATTACACATAGTGGATGTGCAACTGTCAGAGCATAAGAATAACCAGCTTCTTCTCTTGGACTATCTACTTTTGGACCTATTCCTACAGACACCTAAAATTAGGGGTACTTTTTAAACTAAGGCCTTTTTCTGTATGCCTAAAAACTTTTCTGGGACTTTTCTTTAAAATTTACCAGCTGCTGGTTTTACTCATTGATATTTCAAAATCTAGCAAGATCATCCAAGAAACAATATGTGCTCCCTAATTGACATCAATGAGACAGAAGACTTTCCTGAGTGAATCAATTTGAGATAAACTACATATAAGGGCCTGAATCCACAAAAATCACCTCCTCCTACTCAAAAAGGTCCCTCCATAAATTTGAGAAGGGACAAATCAAGCAATGCCAGAAGACATCTTCAAAAAAATCTGCAAATAAATTACAGCCCCAGTTTTTCACAACAGACTAAAGAAAAGCAGAGATACAGAGATGCACAGATAAGGTCTTTTGGGTATTTTCATAGTTTACACATGCATATTTAAGAACAAAATCAACACAAACCTTCATTTTACCCTGCATCATTGCAAAGCATCTATTAGATATTTTATCAGTCCAACACATAAAATAAATCTGGCATGCACTGTATTACATGGTGTCTTTCCAGTTTTCAGCAAACTACACATATCCAAAAGCAAACTACACACATCCTCCTCCAAAAGCACAAAAGTATCTACAAATAGCTAAATTAAATTTCATAAATAAATGTTGTTTTCACAACCTACATAAAGGTGTCTATTCCCAGTGGCACGTTTTCTGAGAGCCTGCTAAACCTGTACAAGCTGCATGAACACACTTGATGGAGTAACAGATGTGCTTCACCATACACCTTCAGCCGATTTTTGTGCAAATTATTTAGATGCGTGTCTGGCCGCTGTCACCTAAAATTCAAACACACTGACTGAGGTGACAAAGCACAGGAGTTTTTAATCATACTTTGGAAAAAAAGAAACAACAAATATACTGTATTTTAAACTAGCAAGAAATTCCAAATATACTTTGAACAGCTAAAATGCAAATTTAAAACCTGAAAATTAAATACAGCTGTGGGAAAAAATTATTATTTGCCTTACAGGATTCTTTGAAACATGTTTTCTGTGCACAGTCCAATAGAGTTACATCCCTCTTAATTGGTTTGGGTGCTTTCAGCCAGTGATGTCCACTACTGGCTACTGCATCCCTGAGAGAGGATACAAGGTGGTACCACTGTGACCATCCCACTTCCTTCACTAACAAAGAATCCATGAATCACTGGAATTTGCTGTTTCAGAGGTGGAAAACAAACCACAGGCTACACATACATGATGCCTCAGAGACCTACAACTAGTGTAAGGTAATTTACTTTTTGGCATGTTTATTCACATATGCAGAAATAGAAATAAATAGTGGCATTCTGCTGTCAGCAATCATCAGGACTCCACTTTAATACACAGTATTTGAATAGGGAGCTAGATGAGCTGCTCATATTCAGACCAACTGTTATTCTTGATATCATGCCAAAAAACGCTATTTCAGAAGACAGCTTAACACAGACCAAGTCTCTGCAGTGATTTGGTCTTTCGTATTAACCTCAGATGAAAGAATTGGTGGGATGCTCTCCAGAACTTGTGCCAGCTCAGATAGTAGTAGAATGTCTTAAAAATACTGAGAGCTGGACAGATGGAAGATTGGGAGGGAGAAAAAGATTTATTTTTCACTTTGACAGATTGAGATTCTGGAAGACAAAAATACACTTATTGGTCCAAGCAAGAGAGTGGAGCTGCTTAGGAGATCTTGAAGACACAGTCCAGCAGCATTCAGTGTGCCTATTTAGACATGTGCAGGAGACCAGCTTCCCTAGAAACTTGTGGCAAGTTCTTACAGATGTTTTAGGAGAGACCTGCATGGGAACATACACCTTTAGAAAGTCTCCTCGGGCATCCTGAAAATCCACTGCTGCAGGAGACTCTAAAAGGCTTTTTTATTTCCTTTATAGACTAATGAACATCTCTACCCTCCCAAGGCCCTACAAATTACAGAGAATAATGTGTCAAAGTGATTGCTTCAAATATCAAAGTAGAGTACTTTTAGCAAAAATAACTGAGAATAACTAAATTCAGAATTATTTGCTCCAATTACTTCAAAATTTGAGGAGACATCTTCAGGAAACACTTTTTTTCTTTTGCCTTTTTTTTTTTTTATTAGAAAGTACCACATGGTAAATAAAAATGTGATATGAGTAGTAACAATAAGGACCATTTTATGGCCCAGTGATAGATATAAAGTCAGTGTTCTGATACCAGGGCAGCCTCTCAGGGAGGGGAAAAAAATACATGATGAAAAATACTTGATAAACAAATGTCCTTAACCAAATACCAAGTGTCTTTTGAAAACAAATAAAATAGCTAGCAGTGAAGAAACTTCTAAGTTTCTTCAGAAGTAGTACCTAGATGATTTAGGAAAATTAACAGGTGACTTGGTTGTCACATAAGGGACAAAGAGCATCAGTCAGTAAAGTAAAGCCAGCACAGATCAGAAAAAAAAAAAAAAAAAAAAAAAAAAAAAAAAAAAAAAAAAAAAAAAAAAAAAAAAAAAAAAAAAAAAAAAAAAAAAAAAAAAAGCAAATGTAACAATATTAAGTTCTCGCATACTTACACTACAAATACAGGGAAATCACTTAAAGATTAAAGTCTACGTGGTCTCTTTGTTTTCTTTTCATTCTAACTCATCTGTCACTTTTAAACTTTCTCTGGAGTCTATTCTTACCATTCTGTTTCACATATATGGGTTCTGTAACAAAGAAGTCAACTTCTGTGATTTCTCACTCTTACGTTAAATAAATTGTGCTATACCTGATGTTACTTGTAACCATGCATCAGCACCACAGAAGAGATCAAATCTAAAATCTCACCTGAGAACATGAAGCAATGGGACAAACACCATCACCCCCTGTCCTCAAATGTTCCCAATTTGCCAGAGAAGTGCCAGTTCCCAACATACAACTTCCTTTTCCTTCCAACCACTGTACCCTCCCTGAGCATACACACTCATTTCATTTAGAAGACAGCAGACTGCACAAGGGATTTACAAGTCAAACACTGATGCCAAGAGAACTGAGGCAAAGGCATAACAGTGGCAGTACCAAAAACCAAACTCTCATTTTGTTGTCTACACCTGCTGAAACTTAACTTCACACCTGAGAAAGACAGGAAATTAATTTATTCTGCTAACTTCCCTCTCTCTCATCTTTTTTTTTTTAACAGTTGATGATATTTACATCAAAAATGGAAGTAGTAATGTTTTTTTTCTGTGCTGGATGTTTATCCTTGACCTGAAAGTGCAACTGTATGCTCTAGGGCACAAGCTATGCCATCTTGAATTTTGCCATTCAAGACAAAGAGAATTATTTGCACAGTTTTCTGATTTTCTTTCACCAGATTTTACCAGTTCTCCTACTGAAGGCAAAGAGTTCCTAATCGTATCTACTAAAATTTATATTTCACTGTTAAGAGCAGTGAAGTATTTTAACATGAAACAATTCTCTCCATTAACTGTTTCCTTCCAATTTCAGTCAAGGGATCTTAAGAATTCTAACACTTCCTTTATAATGTATCAGACTGTCTATGTTCTCTTCTGCAGGGTTTTTAAAGTCAAAATAATAATCTCCTTCAAGCTGTTTTTAGAGTTTTCTTCTAGACAAGTCTCAAAAATCAGGGAAGTAGACAATTCCTCCCAATAAATGAGGAGGTTGAAGCTTTACACTATCCTTATATTAAACAACCTTCCTTTAAGTAAGGACTAGGTAGTTCATAAGAAACAGAAGGTGGCTGAAGCAGTAAAATGTCAAATGAATTTTCTCCATGTGACATCCCTCCATTAAGGGGAAGGAAGCACCCCAGGGATTGACATCAGACTCCTTCCTGCAATATATGATGTGCATGCTTAGTTTATATGGGATTTAGAAGCAGCTGACAAGGATTAGAGAAGAAGTATCTATTTAGAGTTACACAGGCAGAGACTTTCATTCAGGAATTCTCTGCACCACAACTTGTGAGAGGCTGGAGGAATATTCCTGGGAAGCACTGCTATGTGCTTACCCTCATTCCCTAGGCATTCAGTGGGCTAAGGAGATGTTTGGTCTCATCCAGTAGAGCCACTCCCACACTGTTTAACCCACGTGAATCCCCACCTGCAGAGGACCATACCTGTCACTCAGGTTATCAACTGGTGAGCCCAGTCTATCAGGCAGTCTCCTTCGCTCTGGCGTGCCAATGCAATACCGGTCATTACCAACAGTAATCCGCAAACTGTGTTCCAGGGAAGACTCCGAGCGGAGACTCGGTGAGCGCCTCTGTAAATTGAAGAAAGAGTGCAAGCCCATCAACAAGGGGATTTTAATCTCAGGTACAGAAAGGAAAATGATTCTGCTGTGCTTAATAAATTTGACTTGAGGGGATGGATCAATTAAAAAAATCAAACTAGAAGAACAACTGTTCCAAATACTTAAATTCTATTTAGTTACTAAAGAAAGGGGAGGGTATTTACTGCATTTAACGTCTCATTCCAGGTGCTGATAAACATGCTCTATATTTAACTTATCTAGAAATTTTCAACTCAATAGACATTTTATAAAGCAACATTGTGGAAAATATAAAACCAAAGAGAAAGTCACAAAGTGCCAAATTTGCTGCTGTTCTCCCTTCTTTGTAGAGAAGAAGCAGCTATATAAAAATAGCATAAAAAATAGTGCCAGGAATTCCTGAACGAAGTGTCTGTATTTCTGGTCCTTTACAACTTTAGTAACAACATGAACCAGTGTAAACAAAGATTTTCCTAGCAGTTCTGGTTTTAACAGCTTTCCTCACCTCATGCTGCTTTTTCAGCAGATAAGCACAACATAATACTAAAAACACCAATGCCACTAAAAACACCTTCTATAGGTGTCTAACATTCACATTACCATTATTTAAAGCTGGTAGAGATAAACCATAGTAAACTAAATAAAGTTGCCTCTGAAAAATCTACAGCAGAGAAGACCTGAGCTCATTGCCTCTGCACAGACCTTCCTTCATACACATACACAGTACACAAAACACCATCACTGGTAAGTTATGTTTAACTAGTTATGCCTCACATTATTCTAAAATACAGCAGTGGAATACAGGACTGGTCAGAGTTAAGGGGAGTTCCATAAAAAACAGGTGAGACTCCCTAAAGACAGAGATACCTGATTCGCTTTTTTAAACAAACACTAAATAGATTCTGACTAACACGAAGCTGTGAACCAGCTTCAGTTCTGCCAAACCAGTCATGCATTGCACTCTGCTTTTACTGCTGAAAACTGCAGTAGCAAGCAGCAGGTGCACTGCATCGTCCACATCCACCCTGAGAACATGCAGCAGGTTCAGCTCAGTCCTCCAAGAGACCAAAGGAACAGTACATAATCTCCAACAAAAGCAAAAGAATTCCTTTACAAGTTTACCTAACAAAATCCACTTGCAGTACAAACCTGTACTAGAATCCATTGTGCATATAGCTTTATTCTAAGGTAACATATTAGTGATTTCTGTTTTGCTTATTAAGCTGAATCCCAGCAAATATAAAAACACACTTTAATTGCTTTTGAAGACCAACCATCCCAGCACAATACAATCCTGCAACAGCCTGTCTGAGATACAACATATTCAAGGTGCATGTGTCTCATACAAACACATTCTAACTTGGGCCCATTGTAACACTGAATTTTGAGGGCTGCCTCAAGAAATTGCTTTCTTCAAGGCCATCTTCTTGTCATCAAGACTGTGGGCATACAGATGACAATCACCTCCACTGAAGACAGAGAAGTGATGATTACACCTCAGAACAAACTCTGAGCAAAGGAAAAAAATACTTTACATTAAGAATGTTTGGGATGTTTGGATTGCTTATGACTGATCTATACAAATTGTCCAGAGACAGCAGTTAGGGCAGTAAATATTTGAACTTTATTATTTTTTAATACTATTTTTTTAAACTGGAAAAGTTCCACTTTTAAAAGGTTTAAAAGTATATCTGGAGCACTGAACACCCCCACTAGCCATACCTATGTGTACATTGCACTGCATTTTTCTCCCTTCCTGTTCTGTCACCTAAACCACAGTTACCACTGCCATATTACTGAACAGGTTGCATACCTGCTTGTCATTTCTCCATCCTCTGTTGACCCCACATGCTCCAGTCCTCTAATCTCAGCCAATTTTCTTACAAGAAAGCAAAGAAGCTAAAGCATACCTTTAAAAAGAACAAGCACGCAGGTCAGCAGGGATAAATAGAAGCAGCACATGTCAGCCTTGCAAGAACAAATAAAAGTCTGCCAAAATCTCTCACTGTAAAGCCCTGACCTTCCTCTCCTCCATTACATTTCTCAGTACTCACCCCAAACCTTTGCTGTTACTCCATGTTCTTCCAATCACCACAAAGTTTTCCTCAGCTATTAAGAAATTAACACCACTCCTACTTATAACACCCAATACATGGCTCCACTGCCAGCATCCCAGTTATGCACAACAAAATGTGTAACAATGCTGTAGCCTGGAAATGCATTAAATCCATCTCACAAATAATAACCATTTTTAAAAAATCACAACAACAACAAAAACAAAACAACTCCCAGAAACAAGAAAATGTAGTAAGAAATCTCTAAGGCTGCTGCTTTCATACCTCAATTCATATGTAGGATAGGGACAACAACCAGGAACTTGTACTCAAATTTATTTTCTCCATATCAACCCCACGCCCTTATCCCATCAGTGTCTTCATTCTACATATTACATCTCCCACCTTTATGCATATATTCCCCTCTTTCAAGTCCTCTTTCCTTGTTGCAACCTAAATTCCTCTTCCTTGGGCTTCTGAATTCATGTCCTTACAGTGACAGCTCCAAAATGCCACTTACTTATCAGTTATTTGTGTAATTTCCCATATCTACACATATCGTATTCTCAAACTTCTGAAGAAAACATCTTAAGTCATAAAATCCTAAAAGTTTTATTAAAACTTTACCCCAGCCAGTCATGATAACCCAACACATCTGCTGTCTGCTCTGTTTCCATCATATTTAGTGCCATTCTTTGGAAAATGACAGCATAATCCCAGCTTTTATCTTTCTCTAATTAACATTTATTTTGTAAACAGTACCTTTAAAACATAAAAAAAACCTACATACGTATTTTATGCTTTGTAACATTACTTTTGAAGAAATAGTGCCAGTTGTCAAACACCTATTGGGGGACAAAAGCTTCCATGGAAAAAATGTGGATGTTACATTCTAAGAATTACTTACACTGGGCTTTAGCAAACACAAGAGTCAGCACAATATAGGTGGAAGAACTCTACTTAATTGTCTCAAGATCTCTTATTGTGACAATTGCTTCCTACAGAAGGGCTTTCCTTAAATGCAGTAATCCTGTAAATAAACAAAAAATCCATTTGGCTCATCAGTACAGCATTAGCTAAGGCCTACTTAAATATAGGATAAATATTTTTTCAACCCTCTGAAGTTAGAACACGCAAGAAAAAAAAACATTATTCTGTAACAATTTGCTGAGATGACTGATTTAACTTGAGCCAGGAGGATGTAAAGTAACACTAGAAGCGTGGCATTTGTAAAAAATAATGTTTGTGTAAAGTGGATGTTTTTGGTGGCCTTCCCCCCCACCAAAGAGGGGTTCTAGTCAAAACTCCTAGATAAAATTTCACCAAGTCTGAACCACCAATACAGTCAGCATTGAAAGTTTTCTTACAGCCAGCACAGGTTCACAGCCTACCGTGGACACAGTGAAATGGGTAACGGACTGATGGTGAAGTCAGTTTAAGAAAGTTCTGTCCTGTATCCCAGGTTGCCACCCATCAGTTGTGAACATGCAACTGTCCATCAAGTTACAACACAAACTGACATTAATCCAATAGAAAAACATTTCCTTTTTAAAAACGACTTATTTTCATCGTGGATGTTACTAGTAATGCAATTTGCAAGGGTACCATACAGGAAGCTAAAGAGGATGGAGATAAGGGTGAAATACCACGTGAAAACAAATGGGCAGAGGCAAGTTTCTTAGCCTGGCTTGGCTTAACTGTCCAAGACATTATCTTCCTGGATCTCCAAGGCAACTCACCTTGCAATAAGAAATAACACCAATACCTGAATTTTAATGTCACTACAATCACTCATGACCTCTTCTACGGTTGCAGCTCCAAAGAAATCCGGTAAGAACATGTATCACCACAAGAAAGGGCAATCCCCATTCTCTCTTGGGAGTTCCACCAAGCAATGAACCAGCAGATAAACACATTTTTGTGGGACTAACTTTCAGCTACATCGTTTCCTCACATCAGCCCACCCTGCAGCTCACAAATGCATGCCTGAGCACACAGGAGAGGGCAGAATATACTGCAGAGCAAGAGGGAAAGGCAATTATACCGTTTTTTGCAACTGTATGTATTCTGGATTGAGTGACCATGCAACCACTGCTTAGAATACCCCACTATGAAAATCTCTTCTTTCATGGTAGTTCAAATGCACAACGAACTCCACAGCTCAAAGTCACCAGACAAAACAATCACTATACCAAGGAGCAAGAAGATAAAACCCAAGTGAGCGAATCCCACTCACACACACAAAAAAAAGTCTTCACACACACACACTTTGATTTATTACGAAGGTGTCGGCATCCCAAGATGCCATCCAGCACAGATACCAAAACAGAGCTTTGCATGCCCAAATCAGACTTTGCCAAGAGAAAGTGAGAAGACTGGAACACCCTGTGCACAGCCTCAACTACAAAGCAGTGCCTACCAAAGAATACCTATCAAAGATGTAAATCAGTAAAAGTCCTCTTTGTACGCCCGCCGTGACAGCAGAAAGAATTCAAAGTACTCATTCAATTTATGCTATCTAGAAAGTTATACTCCCATAAGTTAAACGATATTTATGTAGTAACACAACCCAATGTGTTGAATGGAGGAAAACTACATCCTCTGACTTCGAATCTTCTCTAAAATGGCTCTAGCCAGTAAGACAAATAAAAATGCAATGGAAACGAGTGAGAAAACATCACTTAAAATGGAAATCAATATTTTTTTCCCCCATTTGGCTCTCTAAGGAATAGGGGGGAAACTGCCGCTCTCCGTCCGCATAGGAAGAGCCCGGGGCTGGTGTAAATTCGCAAGGACTTGGCCACGCCGAGCCTGGGGCTCTGACAGCCGCCAGGGGAGGGGTCAGGGCCCGCACCGAGCCCCTCGGTGCACGGCGGTATTTACCCGGCTGCTGCCGCCGTCTCCGTGCTCGCTGCCCCGGCGGCCCCGAGGCCCGCCGAGCCCCGCTCCTCCCGGCGGCGATGGCAACCTCCGGCTGCGATGCGGCGACGGAGAGCGGCGGCAGGGCCCGCGGTGGCCCGACGGGGAGCGGTGGCGGCGAAGCGGCGGCGGACGGGGCGAAGCGGAGCGCGGCGGCGAGTCGGCGGCGCAAGCGGCGGCGGGCATCGGCGGGGGAGGCCGGCCGTGGCCTGGCCCCGGCCCCGATGTGCTGAAGCGGGAGGCGCGGGACGCCGACGAGCAGCCCTCCTTCAGCCGGTGGGAGGAGGAGGAGGACGAAGGGCCGGAGCGGCCGCTGCTGGAGCGGTACATGATGGCGCCAGCGGCCCGGGGGTCCCGCGGCTCCTCCGGGCCGGCCCCCCCACGGCGTGCGCGCTCCCCGCCGCCCTGCGCGCCCCCGAGCCGGGCGGGGGAGGGGGGGCCGGGGCGGGGGGGCGGGGCCTGGGGACGCCCGCACAAAATGGCGGACGCTGGTAGGTGGGGGTTTCTGCTGCTGCTGCTGCGTTCGGCTGCGCCGATCCTCCTTGCCTTCCTCCGCGCTTCGGCCCCCAGCGACTGTGACTATGGCACGCTGGGCTTTGGTGGTTTTTTTTTTGTTGTTAGGGATATTTTTTGGTTGTTTATTTGCTTGTTGTGGTTGCTTTTTGTCCCCTCCCCTGCACGCGCGCTGTGCTGCGGAGCTGGTCGGTACAGGTGGTGTTGTCTTCAAGCAGAAGTGCGTTCGAAAGCGATCCCTGCCTGATGGATCAGGCGGTGCCGGGGCTGAGCCTCCAGCTCAGCAAACTCCTGAACGGATTTCCGTGCTCCTGGCTGCCGGGGCAGGGATGGCAGGGCAGGAAATGGCTCCCGCCTCCTCCCTTTCCTGAGCCTGCTGCCCACCGACCGCGCTGCCTGCTGGACCGCGCCTGGGACAGCTCCGACTCTCCTGCTACGGCTGAAACACTTCTCTTACATGATTCTGGGGCCTGTCTCCAGAGAGGAAGCGGGTTTTCAATTTACTATAATGGGGTATTGGTCAAAAGTAGTGAAATCAGAGGAATGAAGGTTCTCATAAAACTCTTCAGCTTCGTTTCCAAAATCCACAAGCTTCTGTATCTTGATTTGTAATTTAGTCTTAGCTGACTGACATGTGAGGGCTTGTATTTGAAGAGCCAGTCGATTTTTGGCTGAATTTTTGCTTGTGTGTTTGGGAATGTATTTGCTTGAACATAGTCACGATTTTGAAGCATACTATTTATAAGCAGTAGCAACAAAGAGCAGCAGGATGGTGATCTGTCTGATATTTCTACTGGCAATAGTATGCTACAATTGTATTAAAACTGACCCCCTTTAAGATTTTCTGAATGAGTGCATCACTACCCAGGCTCAGAAAATGCACTCAGTCGCCAAAACAAGCATGAGCTATATAAAGACTTATTTTCTGTTACCATTGTCCTCACCTTTCTGTCCTAAGGCTTGCAGTGTTTATCAGTGACCTTAATTCAACTGTAAGAATTCCTGGGATAAGAATTTAATCTTTGAGGATGTGCAGCAGGCTGCGAATATACTTCCTGTGGGACCAATGGATGCTCGACATGTTCTAATTAACTACCCTAAGCAGCAAACTCAGTGCTGCCCAGAGAAGCAGAACACTTTGAGAGAACCACAAAACTGTTATGCATTTTGGAATTTCCCCTCTAGTGTTTTGTGGTAGATCACATGCTAGTAGTTTATCACTGTAAGAAATAGACATACAGATATGTTCTGTTACTTTATTCAAAGGAGGAACATGTTTTCATGCCTTAGTGCCAGGTGTCTGTATCAAGCACTCAGTTTCACCAACTGAAGTAAATAAAAATAGCTGAATGTGCTAAAAAAAGTGAGAAAAATTACTTGTTTGGTTTTTGACATTTCTTCCATGCTGTTGCTTTCTTTACATCAGTTTTTAACTATAGTTTGGTTTTTAAATGGACAAGTAAAAAGCCACAAACCCAAGAAACTGCAAAATATTTTGAAATACGGTTTTCTATAATAGTTGTGCATCTAATAACTAAAAACTTTGCAAAATGCCAGAAAATAATTTTTTCTAACTTTGTTGCCTTGGAGCCAAAGGCAGTCTACAGGAGGTATTCTAGTGGTTTCTGATCATAGATTTTAGTGGCATTTAGAAGGTGAAAGAATCTAGATAATAAAACCTGAAGAGAAAGTTCATTAAAGTGGCTTATCTGCACACCAGTAAGAAATCTGCTCATGGGAGAAGGGGTAGAAAGAAAGCAAACACCCTGTGTGTTGTGATGTTAAAAGAGTTCCTAAGAGAAAAATTCCATTTGTTGGAGACTGACCAGTGCTCATTAGCATTTTCTAGCACCCTGTCATCTTACTGAGCATTGCCTTACAATTACAATTTATAATTGCAATTTGTAAACTTATCTTCAACTAGATGTAGTATCATATTTTAACCACATACCTTAGAAGCTAAGCTTTTAAAGGGACTGAGCATCCATAGTGGGATCCAGTTAAATTATTCCTAAATCAGTACTGAAATCTGGGCCCATTAGTGCAGAGCAAATTGAGACTTTTCACATCTTTGGAAGAGGAAGCACTATAGGTTGTCTCAGGGATTGAATAAATCAGGCAAGAGCCTTACCTGCTTTGCAGAGGTTTTGGTAACATCCCTGCAATTGGTGTTCTAGACAATCCCTGGATGACAGAGATGCCAATCAGTCTGTTCTGGTAGTTCAGCTCCTAAACTCCTCTTTGGAATTCCAAGGCTCATAGTTGAGCTTGCAATTAGCTGCTGCTTGAAGAGGCTTTAGCTAATTGGATGCTGAGGGCAATGTTGGGGTAATAAGATTTTTGAATTCTCATTAGGCCCCAAATAAGAAAGGGGAACAAATGACATTCAGGAGGAACAGAGTAAGAAAAGTTAGGAGTAGCTTTGTATGAACAAGTAAACAGAAATCAGAATTGAAGTTAATTCAGATTGGACCATTAGGTTAAGAAGCAGAACAGTGGAAGAGAAAAACGTAATACCTTAATTATAATTTTTTACCTTCTTGTCTGAGTCAAGACTAGATCCAGGGGCATGAGACAACAGTCTAATGTTGAATGGCTAGGTTATGAGTAACAACAGACAGTTTCTGTGTTTCAATTACAGAACTGGTGTTCTCACAAGGAGGTGCAGTAGAAGATACTCATCTCTCTTCTGAACTTGGCATTAACTTTTTCCCTGGAAAACAGGGCACAGTATATATCTTGTGCCTTCAGGTCCAGGCAAAGCAGCCTGTTCATGAAAAATTTTGGACTGAGCCAAGTAATCAAACTTTCTTCAGCTGTGTCGTCATGGAATTTGAGGATGGTTCAGCTGATAGCAGAGTCCTGGCTGGGAGCACAGAAAACATCCAAACAGACAATTGCTTTCAGAGATTTTACATCTATAATTACAAGGTTGATATTTCTGAATTTAAGGCTTGTCTAGGCTGGCTTCTGTTTCAGCTCAATATTTACTTACAGCTGGGAAGTAGAATGGGCATGTAGCCTACACTGATTCCCCGAGTCCTGGGATTGGTATTAAGTAATCTGTTACAAAACAAATTCATCAGAAAGGGGGGGGGGGGGGGGGGGGGGGGGGGGGAGCAGTCTCCCTTTGCCAAATAGGGCTTCCTCACTTGGGATTTTTCAATCTAGAGCATTAACAAACTCTGGATAATAGTAAATAAAATCTGGCCTGCATGGTCTGTGGGGTGAGTTAATTTACACCTGATATTGGTGAGGGTTTTTTAAAATTTTGAATGCTGTGATTTTTTTATAATTGCCAGGTATATGATTATTTATAGTGCGCAAGGTACTTTGTATGCAATAGAGCCACCACTCCACGTGCCCACACATTTTAAATCTGTCAAATATATAGCAGTAAATGGTGTAGGCAGCAATATTCAGAAACAGAAGAAATAGCCAAAAGGAAGCAGGAAAAGGAGGAATGTCTACTTAAATTCTTGCTGTGATGCTATTTAAATGCATTTATTCAGAATAGGCAAAGTGATTTCAGATCAGTTAGGATGGACTAGTATTTTCCTGGAGTTCCTTTTTTAATACCCTTTGTGTTTATTTTCCCATATGCATGTAGGCAATGCTGTCTGGACCAAAAAGGAATCTGAGGCATGTGAAAGTTTTCCATCTTTCAGTTGAAGTGATAAAGCTCATGGTTTTGAACCTGAAGAGGTTAGGAGAGTTGAGCAAGCAGAATGCAGCTCATGAAAAAAGATAGCTAAAATACAGTGTGGCTGAATGGAAAAGCTCCGAGGGTGATTAGTCCAGGGGAGAAAGGTTGTCCTTTGTTGATATCTGAGAACTTGTCTGGTATCTTACTAAGAATGTACTTGTCCGATTGGGGTTGTGGGTATTTTGAGGGTATTTGGTTGGTTGGTTTTTTGACATTTCTAAGTTGTTTGGGTTTGTTTGTTTTCATTTGGAAATAAATAAGACATCAGAACCATGAAATTGGAAATCAGCTTCACTTGTGTGCAATTCAGTGCTTCAACATCACACAACCCTACTTGCTGTTTTGAGAGTTTACTGCTTTCACAGCATTTTCGTTGAAGGGAAGCTTTCCTGAGCAGAGAGGACATAAAGCTTACTCTCAAGGCCTCCTCAGGAAAGTTTAGTCTAGAAACCTTTGGATGACCTGTGGGGGAAAAGACTAGGTTGGCCAAATACAGTGTACAGTATGAGTAGCTTGGTCATATAAAGGCAAACTTTCAACTCTGACACACAAAGATTGCTGTCAGGCATGTGAAAAAAAGATTATTAAACAAGGAGAGAGAGAGACTTGCAGAAAATGCAATCTCCTGCTCCTTTCAAGGAAGCTATGATTAGAGAGTAGTGTGGCCACTGAGCTCTTGGTCTTAGCTGCTGTTCCACACTCCCTTAGCCAGATTGCTCTGTTGTCTCGGGAATGTCACTGATACTTTCCTTCCTCAGCACAGCACTGATAACACCTCCAAGTTCAGAGAATGCTTTTTGTATCTCTGGTGAGCTGCATGTTGAAAGTAAAGTTTCCTACCTGTGGTGATTATATGCTTATTTTTCCTGTCAAGAGAATACTGAGGAAGGGTTTGGGACAGTTGAAGCATTCAGATAATCTGCTATAAAAATCACCAGTAGCAACTAAAATTGCTAGGTAGTGTGGTGACATTCACAGCACTCTCCTGGTACCGTGTAATAGTCCAGAGCAGATGGAGCTGGATGTCCTCTCCAGATTGCTTTCTCTCATCTGCAAAGTTGCACATTTACTCCCCCCACATCAATGCAACATACTCTTACAGTAAAGAATG